AAATGTGTTCAAACATTCTTGTGCGAGTATATTTTTCAAGTAAAATTGTAGGATTTCTCATAGAAAAAATACATTCACTATGGCTTCTACATACAAAAGTGATAATGCTACGTAAAGGAAAGTATGTTGAACACTTAACTTTTTTCCCTTCCAAATCCAATCTATCACTTCCCAGTTTCTACAAATGCTTTTAGATTTTTAAATTCCGGGTATGCCATACCATTTTATCACAAAGGAAAATGTTTTGAATATTACTTTTAAATTAAAATTCCTTTGATTTCTAAAAATATTGTTGATCATTCTTTTTTGCAGTACAAAATACGTTGAAATCTCATAACAGCTTGTGGTTCGGAGGTCTGAACACTTACAACGAGATTATTTCTACTTTAACAAAACAAAGAAATTCAAAATTTTAATGGTTACTGCTACTTCCCATACTGCTTATAATACGGATTTTTTGCGCTATTTCAAAGCCCACTATAACGAGATTCCAATGTATTAACAATCGATTAGCAATAAGTATAACATATAAATCCGCGTGTATTTACGTTCTCGAGTATCTCTTATATAGTTTTTATTTTAAAAATGAGTGACAGTAGAAAATAATACTCAGCAGAATAGAATAAACAATAAAAAGATTTTATTAAGATCGACATGAAATTAAATACTAAATATAAGCATATTCAAATTTATAACGGTAAAATCTAGATCTTCTCAATGCCTAAATAATTCACAATGAATAATCTATATCCTATATATGTATATGCATATATACCATATTTTTGTAATTATTCAAACTGCGCGCCGACATTTTTCTAGACTTTATCAAACGTAATTAAATTACTGCAATAATATCACAAGTTATAATAAATTAAATTGACAAGCAAATTTTCAATTTTTGATCCAAGGAAAATGCAATATAAATAGAGTTGCTAAAAACTGTAAATCGCAAAAAAATATTTAACAATAAACAAAAGTGAATTACAATTTTTCTTGAAAAATCACAAAAAGCACTTTTTTCAAAATATTATTCATTAAACTTCAGAGAAAAATAAAAGAACTAAAGGAATGAACAGTTAAAATGTATATTTTAATTTTAAAAATGTGTTCAAACATTCTTGTGCGAGTATATTTTTCAAGTAAAATTGTAGGATTTCTCATAGAAAAAATACATTCACTATGGCTTCTACATACAAAAGTGATAATGCTACGTAAAGGAAAGTATGTTGAACACTTAACTTTTTTCCCTTCCAAATCCAATCTATCACTTCCCAGTTTCTACAAATGCTTTTAGATTTTTAAATTCCGGGTATGCCATACCATTTTATCACAAAGGAAAATGTTTTGAATATTACTTTTAAATTAAAATTCCTTTGATTTCTAAAAATATTGTTGATCATTCTTTTTTGCAGTACAAAATACGTTGAAATCTCATAACAGCTTGTGGTTCGGAGGTCTGAACACTTACAACGAGATTATTTCTACTTTAACAAAACAAAGAAATTCAAAATTTTAATGGTTACTGCTACTTCCCATACTGCTTATAATACGGATTTTTTGCGCTATTTCAAAGCCCACTATAACGAGATTCCAATGTATTAACAATCGATTAGCAATAAGTATAACATATAAATCCGCGTGTATTTACGTTCTCGAGTATCTCTTATATAGTTTTTATTTTAAAAATGAGTGACAGTAGAAAATAATACTCAGCAGAATAGAATAAACAATAAAAAGATTTTATTAAGATCGACATGAAATTAAATACTAAATATAAGCATATTCAAATTTATAACGGTAAAATCTAGATCTTCTCAATGCCTAAATAATTCACAATGAATAATCTATATCCTATATATGTATATGCATATATACCATATTTTTGTAATTATTCAAACTGCGCGCCGACATTTTTCTAGACTTTATCAAACGTAATTAAATTACTGCAATAATATCACAAGTTATAATAAATTAAATTGACAAGCAAATTTTCAATTTTTGATCCGTGTTCGAGAGCGAGTTAGAGCGAGAGCGATAGCGAGAAAATTTTGAATGAGACGGCGTTTTGGCTGAATTTCGATTAACGCGAATTCTCGATTGCGAATCAAACGCGGTAGTTTTCTGGCGGCGGAGCGTCTCCTAGGCGGTTGCTAGGAGACTAGTAGCGAAGCGTTGACTCTAACCGAGAACAGCGAAGAAAAGAAGAGAGTCATTGCTACTCGGTTTTGCCTTTTATGCTCTTTTAAGAACAAAGGCTTCCCTTTGCATTCGCTTATGAGATTCTCGCAAAATTGAAAATTTTGAGGTGACCCTCTGTTTCGAACCGGCGATTGGCAATTTCGAGCGCGATGGCCAAGCGATACGCTATTGCCATGTCTGGATTCTTGATTGGGATGAATGCATATTATATTACGCGTTTGCGACCGATCTGAGTTGGTTCGCCGTTATAGCGGTTGAGATCTGCGTACGTGCGACGTGCGGCTTAGCTTATTATTTTTCGACTTTATTGACGAGCCGAGTTTATGTTTTGGAAACCTCTAAGAACGCTTGGAATCCTTCTAGAAGCTTCCGATCCGTATGTCGCACGTACGCCAAATCTGCAAAAACAGTCCGTTGTTAGTAGTCCGTTGTATCTCGGACAATCCGATATCATTATATAGGTGTTAATGTGATGGAAACCTTAAATTTCGGTTTTGAATAACTACAAAAATATGGTATATATACATGTACATATATAGAATATAAATAATTCACTGTGAATTATATAGGCATTGAGAAGATCTAGCTTTGAACGTTATAAGTAAGAATAGAATAACTCATTACATATGTACGAGATGTGGCTATTAAATAACGAGACTGACGCTGCTGTAGAAGAAGTACGCATGTGCCAAACGCCAGCGACCGAAACAGCTGTTTAGCGTAAAGCCTTCTCTTTCGAATGCAGTACCTCTCGCTTCTGTAAATAAATCCGTATAGCCGTAGCCTTCTTTCGCATTAGAGTTGTTTTTTTGTTTCGCCGGAAAAATGATAAGTGTAACAATAGAGCAACGAATTGTTGTGAAATTTCACGTGAAACTTGGAAAAACCGCTACTGAAATTTATAATTTATTGAAAGAAGTGTATGGCCATGAATGTTTATCGCGTGCACGTGTTTTTGAGTGGTTTAAGCGTTTCCAAGACGGCCGAGAAGACGTTGAAGATGATTCACGCCCGAGTCGCCCTTCCACGTCAAAAACGGATGACAATATCGAAATAATCGGTAATCTGGTTTGATTCGACCGTCGGTTAAGTATTCGTGCGATTGGTGAAACTGTAGGAATTGACAAAGAATGTGTACGGCAAATTTTACATAACAATTTTAACATGAAAAAAGTGTGTGCCAAAATGATACTTAAAATTCTCATGTTTGAACAACAAGAAGCTTGCAAAAATCTTTGTACTGACACTTTGAATGCCATTGAAAATGACTCAAACTTATTGGAAAGAATAATAACATTAAATTAAAATAACATAAAATTAAAAGGAACAAGATTTGAGTCCATTGAAGCTGTGAAAGAGAAAGCGGCACGCGTCCTGAAGGAGCTGACAGAAGAAGACTTTCAACATTGTTTCAAACAATGGAAGATTCGCATGGAGCGTTGTAGGGATAGAGGAGGGATGTATATTAAAAGTGATAATAAGTAAATATGTATGAAATCAAAATAAAATGTTTTACAGCGTCAGTCTCGTTATTTAATAGCCACATCTCGTATTGCAATGAGTCTTTCCTATACTGTATTAAACATAGATTTCGTAGCTACAATTTTAAAAAGTGATAAATATAGTTTCGAAAAATTCCTATTTTAACTTAATTTTCAATATATAGTTTATTTGCGCTGCTTACTTATGCAGTCTAACTTATTTGAAAGTTGAGTTAAAAACTTATTTTTTACCTGGAATTTTGAAATGAATACCTAAAAAAATTCAGAAATTCTCAAAAAATGTTTAAGATTTCAGTGAGCATCCTTAAAAATTGTCATTTGTCAACACTTTTTGAATGCTTTAAACTATCTCAAAGTGCATTTAGTTTGTAGTTCTTTGTGTATGAATATATAAAGGATAAAGTTGATATGTTCATATTTTTATGACTCTGTTACGTAAATTTTGGAAAATGATCTAAGTTTCTTCAATAATGCGTATATATATAATGGTGTTCCATTTTATTGACGTAGATTCAAACAACATGAAATAACATTAAATTTAAAAAAAATGTTGAGAAAAGTTATACGGCCAGGAGAGAGATAAATAATAGTAAAATCAACATTCTCGAAAATTATTGTTCGAAATTGTTTTTACAAAGATTCTTCTAGTTATTCTGCATATAAAAGTATTAAAGCACAATTATAAAAAATTAATAGTTTCTTTTAGTTTCAAAATATTTTATATTATGTTAAAATGTATCAAAAAATAAATAGATATTAAATGTGTATCTCGCAAATTATTCATTTTTTTACACTATTATTTTTATCTGAATAAATGGAAGAATCACATGTAAAAAAATCACACAATTTTATTTTTTTAAATGGCGATGACTTTTATATGATTTTGAAAAATCGAGTATTGCAAAAATTAATTTTACCATATTATTTGTCTCCTTTTAGACCATATATTTTTCCTAAACATTTTTTTATAAATCTAGCCATTTTCATTATTTTGGAGTATATCAATTAATAAAACACCCTGTACATGCGCCTCTTACGTTATTATAGATTATTCTGTATCGTAAACGCAAAAATTATGTAGTTTATATATAATTTCGGATGAAATTTAACTGATAACACTGATGACATATATCGTCCTTCCTTTGCTTATTTCTTTGTCAATTAACACAGAAAAATCGTTGAATAGCGATATTTTTGCGTTTTGTGAACCAAACTATGTATTTTTTGTTAATATTTTCATTTTACATCAAGGCTATATTTTGAACATAACTCAAAAAAGGTTTTTCTTATCACTTTTTTTTACCTCTTCGTCAATGATGCGATTGGTTATAATTGCATCATTTTTTATACTACTCTACAATTTTTTCGGTACAATAGCGGCGAGTGATCATAATGTGGTAAGCATATGTTTTCCCAGATGCTGCGCATCTAGGATTAAATTTTAACTAATATACGAATTTGAGAATACAATTTTTTTACTTTTTTTGCAGATGAACGTAACGGATTCTAATGTGGAGCGTTGTGTGAATGACGGTTAATATGACTCTTAAATCAATCTTTATGAAATATTTTTAAGAAATATCGTATATTTTTGTGCTGCAACAATGACATAGCTCAAAAATTGTAATTTTTCTGAAAATAAATTCCAATGTTTTGAATTGTTAAAATTTTGTAATATTAATTTTGAAATGGTATATAACTCGTTATAAATAAAGAAATAAAATTATATTCTTTTAAAATAATTTTTTCTTTTTTTATATTTTTGTTCTTAATCTGATAATTAAAAAATGTCAATTTTTTAATTATGTCATTATTGTAACAAATAAACAATATCATCCATGCTTTCATTGAAAAAATAGCGATATTCTCTGTAAAACTACTTTCGTTTTTTTTTTTAAATTAAAGAAAAATGCTTAGAATTCCATTTTTCAAAATATTCTAAAATTTCAATAGGTTTTTTAGAAAAAGTTTTTATTTAACATAAGGAAAACATTATTTGAAAACTGAGGATTAACTCTTTAATATCATATCTAATTTCTAAGGCAAGAAATCTGATGATACAATTAAAAATTACGTATCAATAATAGACAATACGCTATATCATGTTTTGGCATTAAAAATGTAGAATATTTTATAAAAATATCATAGAGCAAAAATATTATAATATTTCGAGCGATTGTATAATCTGCGTTGGAGGTCTTTTTCACACTTGGCGGACGTCACATGACGCTGTTTTGAAACGTATAAATGCTCGAAAACTTTTCGTTGCTTCTATTGTAATAACTATCCCCTTTAAGACTTGAACATAACTTATAAAATATCCTAATATAATTTATGAAGGAACCTTGCTTTCTAAAGGCTTTTCTGAGTTGCTAAATTAGATTCTAGCCAAAATTCTAAAATTCAAATTAAAAAAAAATGATTTGATTATTGTGAATTTCGGTTTTAGAAAATTCTTAATATCTCTGAATTTGAATATAGTCTGAAAATATTGAATTTCAAAAAGTAATAATTAATGTAAAGAAAAATGTCATAAGGCTTATAATTAGAGTTTAAAAGTTTGGAAATTGGACTAACCATTTACATAGTACTGGTAAACTTCAAATAAAGCGAAACTGAAAATTTATAATATTACCTTACAATTAAAAACTTTCTAATATCAAGTTTTATGGTAATCAAATTATTTTTTAGAAATTCTATCCGTTATATTTATCTTTTAATTTATATAAATATTACTATTGTCCATACTAGAATTAAATCAATATTAAAAAAATGTTTTTACAAAAAAAAGAACAAAACTATTTAAAGGATTAAAATTTTAATGTTTACAATTTAGTGCTATAATCTTAATATAATTTTCTTTTTCTAATATAAGTGATGATATTCAAGTAGAAATATATATTAAAAATTTAGTTAGTCCGTTTCAGCTTAATAGAAGTTCTCTAATCTATTATTTCTCTATTTCTATTATTATTAAATAGAATGTAGCGCGCGCGGTTAATAACTTTAAGAATACTAAGTTTAAGACTTTTAAAAATTTCTAAGATATATAGCTCAGATCTAAATAAATAAACGAAAATTCTTAAATTTTTATGTTTAATAGCTTTTCTTTAATAAAAGAAATTGTTAAAGTTATTAAAGACCAATTTTAGGTCAAAATCTTCTATTAACAGATATTTCTTAAATCATATTTAAAACTGTTTGATAATGCTTCAAAATTCCATGACAATTACAAATTTCTAATAATAATGCATCATATGAATTATGGGTTTCGCGCTTTTTTAACATTTTCTATCTTAAACACATTCTAAAACCACAGAAATCCCACAAATTACATTATAAATATCATTATAATTACTAATGCTATATAATATCAATTTTTATTTAGATGTTTCGAGAGAATTTTTATTGTTTATTTTATTTGCTGTATTTTCCTCAACGTCAAAAATCATCAATATCTCCTTTTACATTTAATTAATTGTTTTCAGTTTTATTTAGATGATACATGTGTAAAATTCATATAACGTAAACAAAATAAACTTCAAATGACAATTTTACATAAATAATTTTACAGGCGATTGGTCAACTTCATGTATCTTAGGCGTTAAAAATGTCTCAATAGCTTTGTATACAAGGTAAAGACTTAAGTGAGTGTTCATTATTAACTTATTTCTCATATTGCTTAAATGTTCGCACTTTTACAGCGATATTCCTAATGGACAATTTGTTCAAGTAAACGAATCCTGCAATTTTTTAAATTCCTCTACATCAATTTTTTTTACGACTCATGGATTTATTGCAAATAATTCCAATTATAACTTATCTGCTGTTATTTTTCAATTGTTAAAGGTAATTTTTTTTATTTTCAAAAATAAACACAATTTTTTTTCTATAATTTCAAAATCTTATATTGTACGAATAATATAAAAATATTGTAAGATTTACAATTAAAGTATTAAGTAAAAGAATTTTTTTTTCTCCGTAGAAACAATATACAGTATTTTCGCTAGATTGGTCTGACGCAGCGTGTTATAATGACCCAGCCGTCTTAAATCTGCTTGAATATCCATTCGCAGTACGTAACACTCGTAAAGTTGGTAATTACTTGGCAAGGTATGGCTATTTCGTGGTGTTATGTCAAATTGAATAATTTAAAAAAATGTACAACGAATATCAATTAAAATATTTTTTATTGCGATTTAAATAATTTTCTAAATGCTATGATAATACAGTAATAAAATTAAGTAATACTGATGATCAATGTAATATGTAATATGTAAAATAAATGTACCACTTATTGAGGTTTAGCTTTACACATTTGTATTTTAACAAAAGTAATGACAATCAAGAGATAATTTTAACTGAATAAGAAATGCGACATTTTTTTATTTATAGTATAAAATTTTTCTTTTAGCTATATTAAATCAATATGCGATACATGCAGTGTTCCATTCAAAAACATCGCACTTATAGGCCACAGTCTTGGTGCACATATAAGTAGCTTTGCCGCAAAAAATCTCCAGACATCGGGTTATGGTAAAGTTCCGCTTCTTATTGGTTCCGATCCTGCGGGACCTCTTTTCATGCTTAAAGGTCCCGAGGATAGATTTTCTGACACAGACGCCGAACGTGTCATAGCTCTTCACACATCTGCTCTCGGACTACAGAAATCTCTAGGTCATCTCGATTTGTGGTTCAATAACGGAGTAAACCAACCAGCATGTGGTGGTAATTATAATATTTAATTTATTTGAAAATAAATTATTTAATATACAGGAAAATGTCGCAAAAACAATAGTTAATAGATATTAATTATGAGTAAAAATTTTTGTTTTACAGACCAGATAATGGGTTCGCTGAAAGTCAATTGCTCACATAATATATGCATCATGTATTTGGCTAGTATGTGGTCAGATGATTGTGCATTTATTGGTGTCCCTATACCGTGAGTCGTGATTACTAAAGCCATCTATTGGAAAAATAATGGATTTCTTTTTACTACACCTATAAATATAAAAAATGTTTTGTGCATAAATACAAGTGTTTTATACATTTGTCATACTATAACTCAAAAACTATTTATTATTGATCCTTGTGTCTATGATATCTTTTGTTCACATGATAAGCTAAATTATGTGTTAAAATTCATTTAATTAAAATCCAATTTTCCACATAATTATTGAAGGGTTTCATACCTTAAAAAATATTATTTACAAAATCCATTTGATAAAACGCTAGACATGTTACAACTTATTTTTAATGTAGATACATAATGTTAAAGGAGATAAAAATCTGTGATAAGAATACACTGTATCCTCTCCTTCAACTGAATTTTTGTGAATTTTCTCGGTTAAAAATTCCTATAATATCAAATTAAATCCTATAATATCAAATTATATTCTAATAATATCAAATTAAAAACAATTACAAGATATATAATATGTTAAATAATAGTCAAAAGCTACATTATTATAATCAAATGTACATTATTTATTCTTTTTCAGCCGTAGAATTGGTATTCCTGGGTATGTATAAATAAATAAATTGATTTTTACTTAAAATTATTTATTTGTATAAGTACTCTTCGACTGTTTATTTTGCGACTATCATATTATTTATTATTGCAGTATCATACCTGGTTGTTCTGACAGTACCAACTGCATTATCGTGGACAACAATATATTCTATAATAATACTATAGTGGGAGATTATTGTGTTTCTGTCGCATCAAAATATCCTTTCTGTATAAAGGAAGATGAATTTGAATGTCAAAAACAAGTTACAGACATATTTGACACTTTAATTTCATTGTAATTTCAATAGAAATTAAGTTCTGTAATTGTCAATCTTATAATAAGCAAAATTAAATTGACTTATATAATTAGTACCTTTGTCTTGCATAAATCTTTATTGTTAAAATCTTTGTTTTCGATGAAAGAAATAAAACACTGCAATCTATAAAATTTAGTAGAAGTCATTGATAGATAGAAATTTGGACAAAGAGATCTAACACTGTTTTATATTATTTTTATTGTTAAAAAGAAATAAAGTAACGCAATCTATGTATAGACTGTGATTATTTTGCACAAACGAGCAATAAGCAAGCATTTTATTCTACATTATTTAATCAATAAGTGTAACATAAAAATTAAAGAGTTTTTACTAAATTGTATTTAACGCTTCTACTATGGAAAACTTATAGAGTGAATTGTCATTCTGAAGAGTGAAATCTCGCTTTTAAAGATTGAAAATTGAACCATTACATCTTTTGCAACATTGGCTTAATTTTCATTTTTACAGTGAGATTCCATTTTAAAGAATTTAGAGAGTATAAATGACGTTGAAAATCGGGAAAATCGAAAGAATAAGGATTCTAATATTCAATTTTAAAAGTGGGAAAACATATGCTTACCACATTATGATCACTCGGGGCCGCTATTGTACCGAAAAAATTGTAGAGTAGTATAAAAAATGATACAATTATAACCAATCGCATCATTGACGAAGAGGTAAAAAAAGTGGTAAAAAAAACTTTTTTTGGGTATACTCAACAGAATAGAATAAACAATAATATAATAAGATTTTATTAAGACCGACATCAAAATACTAAATATAAGCATATTCAAATTTATAACGGTAAAATCTAGATCTTCTTAATGCCTAAATAATGAATGATCTAAATTCACAATGAATAATCTATATCCTATGTAGCGAAGCGTTAACTCTAATCGAGAACAGTGAAGAAAAGAAGAGAGTCATTGCTACTCGGTTTTGCCTTTTATGCTCTTTTAAGAACAAAGGCTTCCCTTTGCATTCGCTTATGAGATTCTCGCAAAATTGAAAATTTTAAGGTGACTCTCTGTTTCGAACCGGCGATTGGCAATTTCGAGCGCGATGGCAAAGCGATACGCTATTGCCATGCGCGCCCACCAAATCTGGATTCTTGATTGGGATGAATGCATATTATATTACGCGTTTGCGACCGATCTGAGTTGGTACGCCGTTATAGTGGTTGAGATCTGCGTACGTGCGACGCGTGCGTGCGACGTGCGGCTTAGCTTATTATTTTTCGACTTTATTGACGAGGTGATGGCCGAGTTTATGTTTTGGAAACCTCTAAGAACGCTTGGAATCCTTCTAAAAGCTTCCGATCCGCATGTCGCACGTACGCCAAATCTGCAAAAACAGTCCGTGTTAGTTGTATCTCGAACAATCCGATATCATTATATAGATGTTAATGTGTTGGAAACCTTAAATTTCGGTTTTGAATAACAAAAATATG